GACTCCCTCCCTCCGCCGCGCGCGTCCCCGCGGCCCGACCACGCCCCCACGCCGGCGCACTGCGTGTTGTGACCACGCTCCGACACACCCCCAAGCGGCTCCGACCGGGATTTAACACGCCTACCTGACATAGCTGCGCCTGCGCGCGTGGAGCACCTCGGGAGGACATGACGTCACCCACGATTCGAATCAATACAGGAAGCGAGATACCACGCGTTGCCAGGGGCAACCGCGGCCGGAAAAGGCTGAGATAGCACGGAGAATGGGGAAATAACTCTGCTCAGTGGCGGGCATGCACCTATTTGGGGGACAGTCATAGAATAGGCTCCCCAAGGCCGGACGCACAATAGGGTAGACCTGTAGCCGGCACACACCACTGTGAGGTGTTCATACACCGCAGTGAGGCGGTCGTATCGCATAATAAGCACAAGCACTCAACACTAACAGATCCTGTTGAGACATCCATTCATTCAGCAAACGTTCATTGGTGATAATCCTCCTGACTGAGTCTCCAACCCGAATAGTACAACAGAGAACAAACCAAGTAAATATCTTTGCTGAAAATATGGCGAAGGTTGAAGTGGGCGTGTTGCTCAATAGTAAGCCATCCCCAGCACTACCACTGTGGGGGGGTGTGGGGGGGGTGTCAGTCATGGTGTCGCAAGCCTGTAATACTCAAGGAGGCTGACGCAGGAAGATCACAAGTTTGGGCTCGTTCTGGGTGATTTAGCAATTTAGCGAGACCCTGTCTCAAAATTAAAAATACAAAAACTTTTGAGGATGTAGATCCGTGTAAAGGCCCTGGGTTCAATCTCTAGTGGTAAAGAAAAAAAAGAAAAAAGAAAAGAAAAGGGCAAATTATCTGAATAGACATTTCTCCAAAGAGGATATACAAATGACATGCAAATGACCAATACCGTCGTGTAAAGATGTCCAACATCATGAGTCATTAGGGAAATGCAAATCAAAACCACAGTGAAATACTGGCTCACACCTATGAGGACGGCTTTGATTCAGAACAAATCAGAACAAATGAAAAGGGAGGGGAGGAATGAAAATGAGCGTTGGCATGAATGTGGAGAAATAGGAATCCTCCCACGTTCCTGCTGAGATTGTAAAATAAGGCAGCCAATGTGGAAAACAGTCTGGCAGTTCTTCAAGGAAGTAAATACCGAGCTGCCGTATGACACGGCGATCGTACTCCTAGGAATCTGTGCAAGAGAAGTAAACACATCCACCAACACTCCTGCAAAATATCCACCACAGCTTTACTCGCGACCAGCCTGAAAATACACATAGTACTCATGTCCATCAGCTGGTGAACGGACAGCATGTTATTTCACACTAGAAAGGAATGAAAGTCAGGCACACACCTGTAATCCTAGCACTCTGGGAGGCTGAAGCAGGAAGATTGCAAGTTTGAGCTCAGCCTGGGAATTTAGTGATTTAGTGAGACCCTGTCTCAAAATAAAGAAATACAAAGGACTGGGGACATAGCTCAGTGTGAAGTCTCTAGAAAACAAAAGCAAAATCTCCAGTATTGGGGAAAAAAACCCCGATAAATAAAATTTATTGTGTGGTAATGATAGCACAACTCTGTAAATATATCTAAAATTACTCAAACATCTTACATAGATGAATTATGTGGTATGTGACTTATACTTCATTAAAATTGCTATTTTAAAAATTCAGGCGGGGCTTGGTGGTGCACAACTGTCTCAAAATCAGTCTCTCTGGACATGGTGGCTCACAGGAGGCTGAGGCAAGGGGATTACACATTCAAAGCCAACCTGGGCAACTTAGTGAGACCTTGTCTCCAATTAAAAAATAATGCCAGCCATGGAGGCACATCCCTGTAATCCCAGCATTCAGGAGGCTGAGGCAGGAGGATTGCCCTGAGTTCGAAGCCAGCCTCAGCTATATGGTGAGTTCAAGGTCAGTCTGAACTACATAGTGAAACTGTCTCAAAAAATCAAAAATAGCTGGGGATTTAGCTCAGTGGTTCCGCCACCTGCCTTGCAAGCACAGTCCTGAGTTCGATCTCCAGTACCAAAAAATAAATAAATAAAAACTCAAATTACAAAATAAAAAAAGCCTGAATGTGTCACTCAGTAGTGAGTACTTGTCTAGCATGCACAAGGCCCAGGGTTCAATTCTCAGCATTGCAAAAAATAAAAATAAAAAATCCAAAGGGATGGAAAAAGAATTAAGATGCGTTAGGTACATGTACCAGCTCCCCATGATGAATGCAATCAGTATGTACTGCAAAGATGTACTAATAAAAATTAAAAGTAAAATAAAAAATGTGAGTGAGTTCCTAAGTATAGGGCCATGGAGGAAAAAAAAATTAGGAAAATGAAAAATTTGGTTCCAGAGTGACACTGGCTACATTTCAAAAGCTCTTAAGGCCCACCTAGCTAGCAGCTACCATACTGGTGAAGATGTAAAAAGTGGCTATTGTCACAGGCAATTCTGGCAGAAAAAGATGGTCTCAAACAGTGCCAGACCTAGAGAAGAACCAAAAATGCTAACGAAATCTGAGGCATAGCTCAGTGGTAGAGCAGGTGCTTAGCATGTGTGAGGCCTTTGCTCCATAATTCCAGCACTCTGGGAGGCTGAAGCAGGAGGATTCCAAGTACCAACCCAGCCTGGGCACCAAAGGGACTTAATAAGCCCTTGTCTCAAACTTTAAAAAAAAGGGGGGGCCGGGGATGTAACTCAGTGTGGAGGCCCTGGGCTCAATCCCTAGTCCTGGGCACGTGGGGGCAGCGGGGGGGGGGGGGGGGTTGAATGAAGAAATTTGTTTGTAAATATCTTCTCTTCTAGACTATGTTTGATTTATCTCTTTCCTCGGGCCCAGTAGCAGGCTCAATAAATACATTTCTACTAGTTGGAACTCAGCACCCAGAAACAAGATTATTAACAGTTAAATTAACCTGTGGCCTGGAAGACATTTGGCATTCAACATTTTTGCCTGAACAACACTAGCCAGATTTTGATCCCCGGTACCAAAAAAAAAAAAAAAATCAAATGAACACTAGCCAGATAGTACATACCTCTTGGTCTTGTTTTGTTATTTTGAGTCAGGATCTTACTATGTAGTTTAGCCTGGCCTTGAACTATGTTACCCAGGTTGGCTTTGAACTCATGGCAATCCTCCTGCCTCAGCCTTCACAGTGCTAGGCTCACAAGTGTGTACCATCACTCCAGACTCCCTTTTAAAAAGCAGCCACGTGATGTCAGAGTGATGTGGCTGCAAGCCAAGGAACCTCAGACACCAGCAGAAGCTGGAAAAGGCCAGAAGGCTCCTCCTTTAGAGCCTACAGAGGCCTCAGCCCTGCAAATGCCCTGATCTGGGACTTCTGGCCCAAGGGCCCAGCAAGCTCAGGGCCACAGGGGCCATAGAGGGGAGGGCACAGGAGGCAGGGCCTCCCAGGGCTCCTCTCCTGCTATCAGTGCCTCACATGTGTTCAGGCCTCTGAAGCCAACTTCTCAAACATGTGTAAGCATTGCGCGTGGGTGTGGTCTCTCCTATCAGCTGCCTGCACTCCTGACTCCTCCAGGGGCCGATCACACCTGGCCTTGTGCCCTGTAGCCTTCCCCAGTCAGCTCAGCTCTGGACCTCCAGGTTGCACTCTGCAATCATCAACCTGAGCCACAGTGTAAGAATGAAACTGTGAAAAAAAAAAAAAAAGAATGAAACTGTGTCCTGACACAAGTTCCAAATACAGGTAGAAAGGCGACAGCTGCCCACCCACACACACACAGGCACACACACAACCAGAATGTCAGCTCCAGAGGCTGGAGACCGTGTCTGTTTCATTCTGTGTCTGGGTCAATGGCTAGTACATAGTAAATGCTCCATAAAGATTTGTGCAACAGGGCCGGGGATTGAGCTCAGTGGCACCACACCTGCCTCACAAGCTCAAGGTCCTGAGTTTGATTCCTGGTAACAGAAAAAAAAAATTGAATTGATGTTACCTTCACCAAAATCTTTGCTAGCCATGGCATTTTAATGGTTTGCATGAATTGTCCATATGTATTTGTTTGTTTTGCTTTATGGTGCTGGGGATGGAACCCAGGAACTCATGCATGCTAGGAAAGTGCTCATCACTGAGCTGCACCCCCAGCCTCTGCCCACATTGTTAAAAGGAGAGATCAAATGTCAAATGATTGCAATGCATTTTCCCTTTAAAAAAAAAAAGCTGGGGGCTGGGGTGTACCTCACTGGTATGTGTTTACCTAGCATGCACAAGATAAGTTGTAGCACCACCTGGAACAGAGCCTGTGTTCCTGGGTTATTACTATGCAGCCCTCAGGCCTGCTGCACTACCATGCTCTCCCTGCCCAGGTCTGTTGAGCACCACACTGTTTTGACATAATTATGAAAAACTCCTTTTTAGCTGGGCATAGTGGTGCATGCCTATCATCCCAGTGCTCTGAGAGGCTGAGGCAGGAGGATCTTAAGTTCTAGACCAGCCTGTGTGACTCAAAAAAACAAAAAACAACTTGAAAAAGGACTGAGGATGCAGCAGAGTGTGAAGGCTCTGGGTTCAATCCCCAGTGCCACAAAATAAAAAATAAAATAAAAAACAAAACAAAACAAAACAAAATAGCACCCTTTTTCTTTTCTTTTTTTGCAGTACCGGTGATCGAACTCAGGACCTTGCACTTGCAAGGCAGGCAAATCCCTGGCCCGAGTTCCCTTGTTCTCATATGCATAGGTGCCTGGGATCCTCATGAGACATTGAAGATGTACAAAGCAGAAGCTTTGGGTGCAGCTCAGTGTTGAGCTCCTGCCTAGCTTTTCAGGATCCTGGGATCCATCTCCAGCACCACAAACAACAACAACAACAAAACAAAAACAACAAAATACACATATGTATATAATTAGTTTACTATAGTAACATTTATATTTTAATTTAATATTAATACTATCAAGAAATATATTAATGTTGTTAATAAATAGTATTATTACAAGAATGTTAGTAAGTGTCCGATGTAGTGTACATTTGTCTGATTTCTGAATACATAATAATCTTCCTAAGGGCAAACCCTTAACGTGTCAAGGATCGTGCTAACTATATGACTTGGAGTTTCTCACCTGTTTTCCAGCCTGGGCAATTTAATAACTTAGCAAGTCCCTGTCTCAAAATATAGAATATAGAGAGATGGGGTGTAGCTCAATGGGGGGCAGCGAGGTAGGAGAATGCTCCGGGCGGTGGCGGGGTTTGGGGTCGGGGGTAACCTGCAGGCGGGATCCCTGTCCTGAGAAGACACCTTCAGTCCTCAGGGGGGCGCAGTGACCCGACTCTCTGTCTCCGAGCTGCAGGAAGTCGGCGCCCCGCAGTGCCTCCGGGGACTTGTAGTTCGCGGCGTGGCGCGCAGGCGCAGTGCCAACTGTCTACATAGTGAGCAGGCTATGGACTCGGCGGAGAGACTAGGGGACGAGAGGTCGGCTAGAGCCCAGTCTGGTTCGGCTGGGGTGTTTGACCGGGTGTCCATGATCACCTGAGACCTCGCCAAGGGACTGTTCCCGTAAGTGGGCCCCCGGGCGTGGGGCGTGGCTGGCAAGTTTTCTGGAGTATCTTTACCTGGTCGCTTGCTGGAGGCGATGCGCAGGAATCTGAAGGCGGCTCAACCAGGGCCATCCAGGGCCACAGGTCCCCCATGGCCAGGTCCGACCTTTCCTGAGGCAGACTCTTAGGACGCCCTAGCAGAGAAGGGAAAAAGACAAAAACCTTGTCTTTTTCTTACCTGCAGAGAGGGGGTGCGATCCCGGGGGCCATCTGTCCCCAGTGGACTCTGGGCCATGTCTGGAGACACATGTGGCTGTCACACCCGAGGAGCGCCTGGCATGGAGCGGGCAGAGGCCGTCCTGCAGTGCCCAGGACGCCGCCAGAGAGCGCTGGCCAGTGTCCCCAGTCCCTAGGGCACAATTATCTAGAGCAAAACTGAGCTCACTCCCTGCTCTCAGCAGACTGCAGATCACATCCTACTGGGGCTCGCAGTGTGACCAAGGGACCCAGTTTCTGCGACCGACCCCTCTGTCCTTCCCCACTCAATGTGTGGATGTCACTGTGGGCGGCGTCCTAGGACCCTAGCAGGGCGGTGATCGCGGGATCCAGGGCCCCTTAGGGTTCATGAGAATCCCCAGCCCCAACTGAGGTGATTCTGCCCCCCATGCTGTTACTTGCCAAACTAGGCCTGGTGTCTCTCCAAATCAAAGAATGAAATCCTGGACAAAGGAGACAGTAGAGGGGTGTGTTTATTGGAAATAAAGACAAAAACTCCCCATGGTTGGTGGGGGTGTGTGTCCAGAAATGGGGGTCCAGAATGGGCTCTTTGTGAGACTCTTTTATGGATAAGTAGAGCACAGGAATTTGCTCAGCGTCCAGTGGTCGCCTATTACAGGCAGACCTGAAGGTTTAAAGTAACCAGTTAGGACTCAGGCTTTATAGTGCAATGTTCAAAAGAAAACCAGTTTCTCAGCATCTTTAAATTTCTCCAAACCCCAGCCTGGATGTCAGGAGAGATTGTTTACTTGGTGCATTCCTTTCCACCTCAGGAATGCCTTTCCAGGGTCAGAGTCCTCCTTGCCAGTCTTTATTTTAACTCTGATCCTTTTCCTTCTGAAGAGGAGTCCCTAACTGCCTCCGGGAAGGAGAGCCACATTTTGTGTTGGCTAGGGCCCTGGTGTGGGGTGGGGGGGGCAACCGTGTGTGTTTAAGGTGGGTGATCTAGTTTGTGTGTTCCTGCTGTCAGGTTTCCCATCTGGCAGGTTGTGTCAGGATGTGAGCCCTTTATGTGTGTTTGAAGTTGAGTTAATAATGCTGTTTCCTTCGGGATGAAGGAAGTGTAATTTATAGGTGAAAAGGACAGGTCTAGAGCACAACTTACAGGCTTACTGTGTTTTTGTGGGTATATTTTTTTTCTTTTTGGTTTTTTGAGATAGGGTCTCATGTATTCAAGGCTTGCCTTGAACTCACTATGTAGCCCAGGCTGGTCTCAAGCTCACTCACAGCGATTCTCCTGCCTCAGCCTCCAGCATGGGCCGACATGCCTGGCTTGCAGGTCTATTTATATCTTTAAGACCTATAGGAATTTTTTTAGTTCATTTCCTGGAAGGTAAAAAGGCTTGAGTAACTTGTGTTCTGAAGCTGCAGTGTTTCTTAAAAGTGCTGATTTCCTTGTTTCCTTTTTGCCTATTTTTAAAATTTCTTCTATCCTACCTCGATTGGGCCATGTCTGGGGATATGTGTGCTTATCACAACTTGGAGAGCTCCACATGGAGCAGGTGGGGCTAGGGTAGCTCAGCCCTTGCAGTGCCAGGCACGCCCACCCTAGTGCCCAGCAGGCCATGTTTCAATTATTTAGAACAAAATTGAGCTCACTTCCCACTCCTGGAGACAGCAGAACACATCCTGAGTGGCAAGCGTTGGGTCCAGGGGACCCAGCTTCGGAGACTGACCCTCTGTCCCTCCCCATTCAGTGTTCGGATGTCACTGTGGGTGGCATCCTAGGACCTCAGCAGGGTAGGTGGTCGTGGAACACGTGGGCTCTTGGGGTCCATGGAATCCCCTGACTGAGGGGGTCTCAACTGGAGGTGATTCTGCCCCCCATGAGACATGGCAGTGTCTGGAGATATGCGTGGTTGTCACTACGAGGGTAGCTCCTGGCATGGAGTCAGTAGAGACCAGGGATGCTTCAGTGAACTTGGGTAATTGGAGGCTTCCAAGAGCATCAGTTTCTTCATCCATGAAACCCTACCCTGGTCTTGGGTTTCAGCTGCTCTTCCCCCTGCCCCCCGCCCTCTCTCTCTGACTTCATAATGCCTTCCCTCCCCACAGGGCCACCTGCCTGCTCCTGGAGGACAGAATGGCTGCTGGCTTCCTGGCCTGCTGGTCCCAGGTGAGACTTTCTCCCGAGCGATGTCCCTTATATCAGAGGGAGCGAATCCACCAGAACCTGGGGCCTTGATGAGAAGGGGCTGCCCACTAGGTGGGCGATCAGGGAGCATTCCCATGAGCTTCTCACTTCCTCTGCACCTGGGTACAGATTGAGGTACCACCTTCCCCTAGGAGAGCTGTGTGTCTGCCCCAGGCTGAGGTCCAGCCCCAGGTGGAGCAGGATGGGCTGCCCAGAAAGTTCCCTCCTCTTCACTTAAATGTCTTTTAAAATTTGTGATGAAACACATCATTTCTAAAATGTGCCATCGCAGGGCACAGGGGCGCATGTTTGTCATCCGAGCGCTTAGGAGGCTAAGGCAGGAGGATCACTGAGAGCTGAAGGCCAGCCTGGGCTGTACAGTGAGTTTAAGGCCAGCCTGAACTACATAGCGAGACCCTGTCACCAGAAGACACAAAGAAAGAAAGAATGAAAGAGAGAGAGAGAGAGAGAGAGAGAGAGAGGGAGGGAAAAAAAAGAAAAGAAGAGAGTCCCACATCACCATTTCTAAGTGCACAGTTGTGACATTAACCTCCAGGACTTTCCATCTCCCCAGCTGAGCTCTGTCCCAGGAAACGCTGACCCCCATCCCCTCCCCAGCCCGGCACCATCCTCCTTCCTGTCCCTGTGGATCTGACCACGCTGGGCCTCCTGGGGGTGGGGCCCTGAGGTACGTGTCCTCCTGTGTCTGGCTTCCTTTATTCTGCACATGACTGCCACAGGATTTTCATGTAGAGAGACAGGACACCAAGGCCTTTTTCCCAGAAAGCAGCTTTATTTGTGCTGATACTGACTCGGCGGATTCCAATTTGTATCTGAAGGCTGCCTGCCAAACGAGGTGTAGTTGCACTCTTTTATACAACTTTTTTTGTCTTTGTCTCCCTTATATGGGCACACGCTAAGATTTTACAGTCTGGTTGGATTTATGTTAACATTCTGTAGTCTGGCTGGATGTGATTTATGTTACAGAGTCCCATCAGAACTGCACATGCATACACAGAAGCTGATACCATCACATTGTAAAGAGTTCCCACCCTACCACATTCTCCCCTTTGATGCTCGGACTCCATTCTATTTTGGGTCACAGAGCATCATCCTGGTTCAGAGGGTTCTATTTCCATAACCTCACCACGTGTGCACCGGTTTTTCTTTCGAGCATCATCTCAGTGAGGCTGGAGACTGAATGTAAAATCAGGGCAGCCAGGTGAGGCAGGATCAAACAAGTTCCCAAATTACCAGGGATTTAGCTCAGTGGTTCCGCTGCCTGCCTTTCAAGGACCTGAGTTCAATCCCCCGTACAAAACAACAACAACAACAACAACAACAACAAAACAAGTTCCCAAATCAGGAGTACGACACCTATGAGGGTTTTAAATCCCCCAAGAGTTAAAAACTATCCCCCGGGGGCCAGGGATTTAGCTCAGTGGTTCTGGCACCTGCCTCACAAGTGCAAGGTCCTGATTTCTATCCCCAATACCAAAAAAAAAAAAAACTCCAAAACTATCCCCCAAACAGTTCCCCAGGGTCCCACGCTTGCCAGGTGTGGGATAGAACACAAGCAGTTTTCCTTGTCCATCTGTAATCTCCTCTGTGGCCTTTCTCTCATCATCTATTTGGAGGTAGTAGTTGCTTAGGGTAAATTTCCCACAAACTCCTTCCTCGGAAGCAAGCAGATAGTCTAAGCCCAAGGGATTTGATTTTGATAGATGGCAGTGCACATTTTGGTCTGTTCTTTGGCTAACAAGAGCTTGGCCAGTTTCATTAGTTCTAATTTCTACAACTGCTTGTAGTCTAATTATGCAGTTTAACCTATAAATGAGGGTGCAGTAGCCCCAGGACCATCTTCTGCCCAGGCAGCAGGACCATAATACTGAATTATGCATTCAGGGGGCCATTTGTCATCTTTCCAATTGCCAGTTTGCAGGGCATGTCATTTTCTTTTTCTTTTTGGTACTGGAGATCGAACTCAGGACCTTGTGCTTGTGAGGCAGGCAGCGGAACCACTGAGCTAAATCCCCCGGTGGGGTATGTCATTTTCTGTGGAACCCCCTGCCCTCATACACTTGGACCCCCAGATGTTCTCCCATGGCAAATGGGAGTAGAAATAAAGACAGGCGGAGCATCCCTAATACAGGAGACCCTGACCAGTTTGGGGGAAGTACAGCATATCCAATACAGTTTGTGCCCTGCCATTCGATGCCTGCGTCAACATTGTCCCAGCCCCCCTTAGATGAGAAAAGTTGGACAAGGGGTGAAGGTTTGATTCAGAGTAGTCAGGGGGTCTTCTAGGCAGTTGAGTTGACCTTTGACTCAGGCACGTTAGGCTCCCAACAGAGATGTTGAACCATCCACCCCACCAAGCAAGACAGCTTCTTCCAGTTATTGAGGTCTTGAGAAGCCAATCCCCTGAGGCAGAGCTGGGGTGCCCTGTGCCAATATAATGTACAGTTATGAGCAAGGGGTGGCAATACACTGCATGGTTGAAAAAGGATGTAGTAGGCCTGTGTCACCAATCAGCATCCTCCTCAGGCTTCTACTGTGCATAGACTACTCAGCCTCTGGAGTGACTAGAACAGGGCTGTCATCTTTCAATGGTGTCCAGGAGGATACCTCATCCACTTTTACTCCCTTGGGGGTGGACAGGGTAACAGTGAATGGGCCCCTCCAAGGGGGCTTCAAGGGCTAGACATTCCATTCTTTTACCCACGAAGCATCCCCTGTCTGGAAAGAGTGAGCGTCTGTGGTCACATCGGGCAATCGTTCCTTAACCCACTGGTGTAGAGTGGCTAAGGCTGAGCCTAAAGCCTGCATCTGTTGACTCAGAATGAGGTTTCCAGGTGTCTTTAAGTTCCCCCTTATCCCCTTAATAAGAGGAGGGGTCCCCCGTAGAGAGTTTCACAAGGGAAAGCCATGTCTGTTCAGTAGGTCTGTCTGATCCTCAACAGAGCTGTTGACAAGAGTTGGTCCCAGTGCAGGTGAGTTTCCTGGCGCAGCTTGCTCAGCTGTAGCTTTAAAGTCTGGCTCATTCACTCCATCTCCCCGAACTCTGGGGACAGTGTGCTGTGTGCAGTTTCCAAGTAATCTTTAGTCCTTTGGCCACTAGCTGCACTGACTCTTCCATGAATGCCGGCCCGTTGTCTGATCCTATGGTAACAGGAATTCCAAAATGGGATGATTTCTCTTGGAACGATCCAGGCCACCTCAGGTCCCTTTTCTGCATGGGTGGAGAAGGCCTCTACTCAGTCTGAGAAAGTGCACACAAAAACTAGCAAATACTTACAGCCACAGAGTCCGGGAAGCTCAGTAAAATTCACAACCCCATTTTGGCGAAGCCCAACCGACCTCCATTGCTGCTTGACAATGTTCCAGCTGGGGGAAAGAAAGGGTGGAACACATCGTACCCTCATGTTTTATTTTTTCTTGCCATAATGTTTATAATTGTTACTCTGATCACAGGAGTCATTGTGTTTGTGGCTAACTCTCCATGAGGCAAATTGGTAATGCTATATTGAAATCTGATCTGGCTCATAAGCCCCAAATTCCAGTTTCTCTTAGTTCTATTGCCACATCTACTTCTAAAGAAACCTCTCCTAAAACCCCCTCTGTTTCCCCACTACTATGACTCCCCCTCTTACTGTTGACATTGTGTTTACTAAAGGAGTCTGACAAAAAGATTGGAAAGACAGACTTTGGATGAAAGAAATAGTGGAAAATGGGGAAAAAAAAGAAAGTTAAGACAGGTAAATGCATTAAGGAGACAAGTTACTCAATATTTCTCGAAGTGCTGTAAATATCTCCTGCTCATGGACAATGAACCCAAATGACATTTAGTTAAGATGAATAGAGGTATAGAAAAATAGAGAGCTAATAGCAAACTATATTAACCATTGTGCAGTTTCTCAAGGGCCAGCTGGCGACCACAAGTTTGACATTTAGTTGATTAAATCTTGCTTGTACCCCCGCTGATATAAAGATTTTGATTAACTTACTTTCTGTTCTGTTTAGGTGTGGGTAAATAAGGGGACAATTGTAATTTTTAAATATGTGTTCATGATGAAACAGCTTAGAGGAACTGTACTTTGTTTAGCAAAAAAATAACTTCAATAGAAAATTGCTAAGGCAACTTAAAATGTAAACATGTTCCGCCCAATGCCTCCCAGCTATTGGTTAAAGATATAAAAATAGATCAGACCCTGAGACTTCTCAGAGGGAACCTGAACATTGCTTGTGAAGGTTCTTTTCTCATCGCCGTCCCAGGACATCTCCCCTTCCTACCCTACATCGACTGCAGCTGGTCTGCGGCAACATTTTCTTTTTTTTTTTGGTACCGGGGATCGAACTCAGGACCTTGCACTTGCCAGGCAGGCAGTGGAACCACTGAGCTAAATCCCCAGCCCCACAACCACATTTTCAAACGGGGCTCCCCCAAACTCTGTACCCTGAGAGCAGCCCTGAGCTTGATGTGGGTTACTGCGGGCACACATTTCACATTGTTCCCACACCACCTGGGCTATGCTGGAGAGCCAGGGGATGTAGACATGTCGACTCATGACCATCTCAGAGCTGTCTGCCCATGAGGGTATCCTGATGGAACTTTCTGGCAGAAGCTGGGGCCAGAGCCTCAGGGATTGCTACCTGGCCATCTTCAGACTTCTACCATCCTCCTGGGAGGTAACTTCCATCCACAGTCTTAAACCAAGGATCTCACATTGAGAATAACCAGGGCCCCATTCTGTTAATGGACTAGGAAACAGCACGGAGGCCATGGCCATGGACTCCTGTTCCCCTAGTGGCCACCAGCTTAGCTTCCTGGTCTGCTTTACAGTTTCCTCAAGTGGCTGTGGTGTCTCCCCTTTGATGTCCCCAACAGTGCATGACTGCTACCCTTTCAGGGGCCTGTCTCTGTGAGAAGGGGACCCATGGGTTGGGTCACCATGGAATGTACAGCCCCAGAGTCCGCCATAAAGTCTGCAGGCCGGCCCCCCCACATTTTTTTCAGACCATAAGCTCCTGAGGGCCTAACAAAACAGAGCCCAGCCTGTCCTCTTCCTCCTCATGTCCTCCCCTGGAGGCCAGTCCTTTGAAAGCAACTTTTGGCATCTTGCGTGGCTTCTGACCTGTGTGTCTTCCATTCTCTTGTTCAGGGGCAGGGGGAGATTTTTCTACCTGGTGGGGCATTCATCCTTCCAGTGCCATACCTGCGACAGTAGGCATAGTGTTCCCAGTCTAGCTTTGTTCCTGGGTGGCGTGGGGGTGGAGTGGGGGCGTGATTCTGTCAGCTTCCCTGTTGGCATTCCTGGCAACTTCGCCGTAGGCCTCGTCCTCTGCCGCTGGGTGTATCCGGTGTATCCTTACGGGACTGTCCTGATCGTTCCACCAGGGCTGCTGTCACCAAATCTACCTTCTTTTTCGTCTTGTGACTCTCCTCTCGCCGAGCCTCCTGGTCTCGGTTGGCAAACACCCTGGATTTGACTTCTAACAATTGGTTGGCCTTCATTCCAGCGAAACCCTCCAGTTTCTGTAACTTCCACCTGATATCTCCCTGACCGCCACATTCACATCTGTTGATTCTCAGATGCTTCTGGGTCACAGCGGGCATACAGACGGAACGCTTCATGTAGCCTTTTGTAGAATTGTCTCAGGCTTTCTTCTGGCCCCTAGAGCACCTCCAAAGTTTTGCTGATGTTCATGGCCCATTTTCCCCCTTTCTCTGTCTCCTGGGAATTGGTTGCAGGCATAAGCCTGCTGACCCAGCATTCTCACCAGGCCACTTCCTTCCAACCATCATAGGGCGGCTTGAGTAACCCAGTGGTGCTGCTCAGTGTTGAGGAGTTGCCAGCAATTGGACCACGTTAGCCAGTGGGGCTGGATCATGGCCTGTACCAAGTCAGTTATTGCATGGGATTTCTCAGTATATGCAGGTGTGTGGTTCTTAAAGAGGTCAGTGGTGGTGAAGGGTTGATACACAAACACTCATTCCCCTCCTTGGATCTGCCCTTGCAGGTCATAGTAAATGGATCCTCGAGTCTCTCAAAGTGGCATCTGCATGGCGCCTTGATGGGCCCTGGAAGGGTTCTCTTGATGGGCGCCTACAGGCGTGTGGGGAATCAGAATGGGTGGCTCAGGGGAGGCCACTGTTGGGGTTGTCTCCGGGGAGGTCTCAGGTGACGTTGGGAGAGAAGCCACCCCTGGGGGGCTCCTGGCCCCAGCAAAGCCTCTGCAGCGGAGGCCACAGGTGGCGCTGGTGATGGATACTGTAGGACATATGGAGGTGGGACTTTCTCTGACTCCCGGATAGAATCAAGTTTGTTTGACTTTGGGCGACATTTGGAGGCTGCTGTTACCCTAGCCATCATCACTCTGTAGTGCCTTTCAATGCAAGCTTTCAGCCAAGGTGGCCGAGACAGGACCGAGTCTTGCCAACAGTCCAGGTAAGGAAATTGGGCAGGACAGTCAGGGCCCCCTGCAGCCACCCTGAACACTTGCCTAGTTATCTCCTTATCAGGTGAGCCCTCAGTGGGCCATCTCCCCTCAGACGGCCAGTCAGTTTCACAGAAAGTCTGGGGCATTCTGGGAGTCAGCTTAACCCCACAGTCACCTGAATATCCCTTTCTGAAATTCTTTAACATACACTCTAGGGGAGTCAGTTTACTCTGCTTTCCACCCATTTCCTCCCTGTAACAGACAACTTTCACCAGGAGAGGGAGGAGGGAAGGGGAAGGCTTTTAATTGGAAGAGTCACACGCTTGCTTCATCTGTCTCGGTTGCTCTCCTCCTGGAGATATTTCAAGCACCTCTTAGCACGGCAGAGAGGCAGAGCTCCAGGGCCAGTCGTCGCTCATAGCCCCCCGTATTATGATTTGCCATGGAACTGCAGATTAGGACTCAACACTCGGTTCGGCCCTGTGGCCAGGTCAGAACCTTCCCACCGTCTGTCTTGTTCACATATAAACACACCGTGACTCCAACCTTGACTCCAACCTGCTGTCCAGTGCCCAGCACCTTGGGGCTGTAGTTTGATTCCTTGTGGAACTACTCAGGCAACTCCGGTACTCCAGCCCCCACCCAGTTCCCAAGAGTTGTGGTTTCAGTTTCAATGAAATTTACTGAAGCAACTGTGGGAGGTGATTGGTCCCCCCTTCTGCCTCTTTAAAGGCAAGACTACTAAATCAAACTTGGGTCTTATCACATCCAACAGGAGCCTGGTCCTGCAGTTTCTGTTGTGTGTCCAGAGCTGTCATCTGGAACATCAGGAGGGCCAACCTCCCCTACGGGTCAAACGGTCCACTGGTGCCAGGTAAGGTTGTGTCTCCCAGCACCCCAAGGTTCGAACTCCAGCAACAAGGGAAGTGGAAATACACTGTTCCTGAATCCCGGACAAGCCCCCAGAAGTGCACAGTGCCACTGAGTGCAGGATTTTCACGTAGAGAGACAGGACACTGAAGCCTTTTTCCCAGGAAGCAGCTTCATTCCTGCAGGCACTGACTCAGAAGATTTGTATCCAAAGGCTGAGTGTTGAACATGGTATAGTTGCACCCTTTTATACAATTTCTGCATCTTTGGCTCCCTTATATGGGCATGCACTGGCATTTTACAGTCTGGGTGGGTATGATTTATGTTACAGAGTGCCATCAGAACTATACATGTGTACACAAAGGCTGATATCACTACATTGTAAAATGTCCCCAGCCTACTCTTGAGGGCCCTACCACATGATCACCATTTTATTTACAAAACAATGCTGGAATTTGCATAGTTCTCTCTTATGCTTATATGAAAAGAAAATAATAACATGGTTTAGTAGGGCTGTGGGTGCAGATGGGAATCAGCACAGGAAGAGGAGCCAGGGGCAGCATCCAGGAGAGACTGAGCAGAAGTTAGGGGTGTCCTCTGCCAGCAGAATAGTGTGACGGATCCTTTTAAAATTTCTTTTTGAGACAGGGTCTCACTATGTAAATCAGGGTGGCCTTGAATTTGCTGTAATCCTGCCTCAGCCTCCTGAGTGCTGGGATTTCAGGCTTGAGCCACCACGCCTAGCTAAAATCTTGCCTTAGTGAAGGACATTTGTCAGAGCTGTTGAGCCAGTTATTTATTGATGTCCACAGTTCGCATTGTGGTCCCTCCAGGAGTTGAACATCCTGTGGGTTTTGATAAATCTATAATAAATATATATGTCCACTATTGTAATATCAGAGTTTTTTCATTGCCCTGAAGATGCTTTGTTGCCTGCCTCCCTGCACTGTGTGAATGAATGGATGTTTTCCATGTGGGTTAAGAGGATCTCTAGTGTGGGCTTACTGTGTGTCTCTCCCATCCTAGGGTTTTCAGCGTAGACTAAATAATTCAGTTCAGTCCTGAGTTTCAGAGGAGCCACCTGAACCGTCTGTTTCAGACAACTTTGTTGTTTTTGTTTGTTTTTGAGGTAGTCTCACTATGTAGTGGCAGCACATTAGGCCAACATTGAACGCATGAGGCGCCTGTGTCCTGGATGGGTCAGCAATGTACTCACAGTTCTGATACCTTCCAGGGCCTGGCCAGGGAAGCTGTTGATTTACAAAATAAGGAGGTTTCTCCTGTGCAAATGTCAGCTCAGGATCTAGACATTGGAGTAAAAAATGCAAATATTCCAACTTGTGTGGGTCCTCCCCACTGGCTTTGCAGTGGGCCCAGCATCTGCAAGTCCTGCTGATCCTAAGCCAAGGACAGATACCCACAGGCCACTCATAGCTTCTGACCCCCTCATGTTCTTTCTGAACTTCCCTGGGGCCACTGTCTTCTCCCTTCCTCCTACGAACGTGGCTGAGGGAATGGCCCCATCTTGAACAGAGCCACTAATTTAGGAATTAGTGACTTTCAAGGACCTGCACCAGACGTCCAGTCCTTGTCCAGCTTCTGCCAGGTGCCAGGCCATCTGCTGGGACTGGGGATTGATAGGTGGTTGAAAAATATAGCAAACATTTAAATTTTTAAAAAACTTAACTACAGTAAAATACACATTGCCATGAATCCCTATCAGAATCCTGCCCCTCACTTTAAACACTTATCCCATCATTCTAGCCACTTTTGAAGCAGTTCTGGAAGTCCTCTCTCATGAGTGTCTTTAATTGCACTGTTGTGGCTGCCTTAATGTTCTGGATGGGTTAAAGATATTGACCTTTTATGATTGTTTTGACTTGGGAGGAACCAGAAGTTGCATGGTGCCAGATCCAGTGAATAAAGGGGATGAAGACACCATCATGTTTTTCTCAGCTACCCTTCCATTGGATGGTGCTCAATAGCAACAGTCACTGTATTTTTTGTTTTTTAGTACCAGGTATCGAACCCGGGACCTTGCACTTTCGAGGCAGGTGGTGGAACCACTGAGCTAAATCCCCGGCCCAGCCACTCTGTTTTTTTTAATCACACCTCATAAAGACACTCAAGAAAGAGGACTCCAGAGCTGCTGAAGAAAATGGCAAGAATGATGGGATAAGTGTAATCAAAGTGAGGGGGAATTGTTTTTTTAATTTGAGACAGAGTCTAGCTCTGTAATTCAGGCTGGTCTTGGATTCATTGTGTACCCCAAGCTGGCCTCAAACTTGTGGCAATCCTCCTGCCTCAGCCTCCTGAGTGCTAGGATCACAGGCGTGTGCCACCACGCTCAGCTTAGGGGGAGAATTTTTTTTTTTTTGGTGGTACCAGGGATCAAACTCAGGATCTTGTGCTTGGGAGGCAGGCACCTTAGGGGTAGAATTTTGAGGGGGATTCATGACAATGTCTTTTACTATAATAAATTGTTTTAAATTTAAATAATCCTTGTATATTTTGATTGCATCTCATAGTTCCTGGTTTTGCAGTACCTGGTTTTCTGGCTTCTCTGACAGAATGAATGATCCTGTATCAGTGTGAACAGCTGGGCCTGCTTTTGGTACCAGGGATCGGACTCAGGACCTTGCGCTTGCAAGGCAGACAGAAAAACCACTGAGCTAAATCCCCAGCCCTGGACCTGCTTTTGAGTCACATGTCTTGGCATGGATGTCAATTACTTCTTTGATGCTTCTCAAGTCCAGAGTCAGTGTGTACCTGCTCTTTCCACTAAGGTGAAAAGCCATAATTTGTTAAAAAAAAAAAAAAATTTGTTCTTTTAAAATTTTAATCATGATAAAATCCACATAACATAAAATTTGCCTTTTTAACTACTGTTAAGTATTTAATGCAACAGCATTAAGCACATTCCCGTGGCTGTGTAGCCATCATCACCATCCACCTCCAGAACTTCCCATCTCCCCAGCCTGAGCCTCTGTCCCCTGAAACACTGACTCCTGTTCCCTGCCTAGCCATGGCACCACCATCCTACTGTTTATCTCTGGGTCTGACTCTAGAGACCTCCCAGGAAAGGAATCACACAGTGTGTGTCCTTCTGTGTCTGGTTTATTTCATGACAGGATGATGCTTTGTAGGTTCACCCATGCTGTAGCATATATTGGAAGGTTATTCCACTGTGCCTGTACAACACATTGATCTGTTCATCCATTGATGGACACTTGGGTTTCCTCTCCCTTTAGGCTGTATGGGTATTGGTGTGCAAATATCCATTTCAATCCTGTTTTCAGGTCCTTTGGGAATATACCTAGGACCAAAATTTCTGGGTCATATAGAAACTCTGTGCTTAGGGCTCTTTTTTTTATGGTACTGAGTTGTTGTTTTTTTTTTGGTACCGGGGATCGAACTCTGGACCTTGCACTTGCGAGGCAGGCGGTGGAACCACTGAGCTAAATCCCTGGCTCTTTATTTTTTTATTTTGAGACAAGGTCTCTGTAAGCCACTAGGTTGGTGAGGCTGTACCCAAACTCATGGTAATTCTCCTGCCTCAGCCTCCCAAGGGCTGGAATTACAGGTGTGCACCACTACACCCAGTGATCCGTACTTTTTAAATGAGGAAAACAAAGTACTTAGCTTGTTAATACCCTACCTCTCCAATACATTCTTCCCTTTCAGAAGCCTTGAAGAGCCGAGGTCCCGACACAAGCATTGCTCTTGGTCCCTTCTCCCCAGCACAGACCCCTCTGGTCACCAGCCTTTCCCCTTGGATATGGCATTTGCTCCTTCCCCTGGCGGTGTTTTTCCACTCGGAGGAATTGGAAACTGAGTGGATGGAGAGGAGAGGAATCCACCATACTTCTGGTTCTGGTGAGAGGCAGATGACCCAGTGGGGCAGGAAAGCACCATGGCACCATGTACCTGGTGGGGCAGAGATTTCACCACCAGGCCCCGATTCTGCAAAGAGGATGCAGGAGTTCCTTGCTTGGATACCTACAGTCCGCCTTCTAGAAACATCCTCCTTTTGCGGGGGTGGGGGGTGGGGTACTGGGGATGTAACCCAGGGCCTTCACACTGAGTCCTATCCCCAACCCTTTTTTATTTTTTATTTCGAGACAAGGTCTTGTTAAGTCACTAAGTTGCCCAGGCTGGGCTTGAACTTCTGATCCTCCTGCCTCAGCCTCCCAGAGGGCTGGCATGATAGATGTGTGCAATCTTTTGGAACATTCTTAGTCTTACCAGAGAAGGCTGGAGGTTTGGCTGATTTGAGGGGAACCGCAGACACCCCCGGGGGCTATTGAGGCAGATGACACCCAGCCAGGTCCCAGCAGCTGCTGGGGAGGAAGTGATCACACAGCTGGAATTTAGGGGAATGGCTGAGTGCAGACCTGCTTTCAGCTCAGGGAGGCCCTGTAGGGAGTGACAGTGACTCGGGTGCTGGGGGTCTGCATCTGACTCCGTCCTAAACGGCTATCAGATGGGACACTCAGACCCAAGTCCCCTGCACAGAGAAGCCAAAGTGGAAGAATCCACAGCCACAGCGACCCCCTGATCCTCACAAAATACCCCAAAGAGCTGGGGACACGTTTTGCTGTGCAGGCAGCAGTGCCAGGTCCTCGAATCCCAGGCCACCTCTCACCATGCACAATCACATCAGCCCTGCGGAGAAGCCCCACGAATCTCCAGTACGAGAAGGCATTCAGCCAGAGACACTTGCTGGCCCAGGACTGGAGGACACACACTGGGAGAGGCCACGCGCACGGCCACTGACACCGTCATGTTTTTACGAGTTGCCTTTCTGTTGGATGGCTCTCGGCAGCAGCATTCACTGTACTTTTAGTCACACCTCCTCAAGACATGCAGAAAAGAGGACTTCCAGAACTGCTGTAGAAAAAGGCAAGGATGAGCAGTGCACAGTGGCGCAGGCCTGCAGTCCCAGCCCCCTGGAGACTGCCTCACCCTCCTGAGTGCTGGGATTACAGGCACACACCACACCAG